GTTCAGCCGCCGTCGTCACCAACCGTCCCGCAACCGTCAGACACCCAGCAACGAACCGGTAGCCGGCGTCAGCCTGCGATAGCAAAGGCACCGACAAACCCGTTGAGCCCATCCTGCAGCCCGTCAGCGTCACCACGCTGCTGCCGTCGATGCTCAACAAAGTTGATTCAGGTTCGTGGAACGTCGCACCCACTCCCAGGTTGTTGTCGCGCCAATCCAACCAACTTGAAAGTTTAAGAGACCATGTCTTGTATGCATAGATAGCGCAGGCCACGGAAGCGCTGTTCCCCACCACGCGTAACACGCTGTAATCCGACACGCTGAATCCGTGGCGCAGATACAGAAGGCTTTTCCCGGAGGACATTGTATTGTTGAGCAGCGCAAAAACAGAGTGATCACTGACACTGAGGGCATTTACGTACAACAGTTGTGCGTATCCATTGAAGCTGCAGTACCGCGTGTACAGCGAGCTGCCACGCACCAGCGTCAGCGTACCGAACGAGTACAAACCAAAACCACCGTACCTCAAGGCATGCGCCTTGACGTTGCTCACCAACAGCGAAGACGCACTCAGCAAAATGTTCTTCAGCAGCACCAATACGCTAAGCTTTCTCCTCCCAGTGTCAAGCAGCTGGACCTCGGAAAATTGCACCGCGTCAACCTCCGTGACGGCGATGTCGCAGTGCTGCGGGAGGGCGAGTGCAAACACAACAACAGAGGACCACATCACCGTCTGGCTCACGCGGATCAGGACGCCTGCTGACTCCGCCGCCTCAGCACCCCCAACAAACTGCAGCGCGGCACCCTCACGGAATGTGCACCCACTGAGCGTGATGTTGATGGGGAGATGCAGCGGCATACTTTCAAAGAAAAACGTGAGCACTGCATCCACGCCGCTGAATTTCACACCCGCGTAGCAGTGGTGCGTCTTCCACATGTTCAGCGTGAGGCTCTTCAGCGTCTGGTTCGCCACGCAGCTTGTGTCACCGTCAACGGATCTCTCCGGTAAGGGCGGCACAACCGTGTCGGGCACCTCGAAGGGAAGGCACGACGCGCCATGCCATCCGTCCTTGCAGCTGCACGAGCACGAGCTGCGGTCCACCAACTCCGTCCCGGGCATGTAGCACGCCGCGTCGTCGTTGCACGTGCCACACCTGAACAGCACCACTTCCCCAGAAAACATGCCGTCGTACGACACCTCCTCATCGCCCTGCAGGTTGCACCCAACCACAAACCGCGCGGGTGACATCACTAGAATGCTCGATGGGAAAAAATTGGCAAAGGCTTTACTCGAGTCCACCTGACGGTTGTATGCAAGCGCCACGGTGGTGCCGCTGCCCGACAGCTTAATTGTGTAAAAGGATTCTGGCACACCTATTACTGAGGCTGCAGTCACATCGTTGCCCTCCACACGCCACTGCGCACCGTCCTCGAGCATCAAAGAACCGTCCAAATACAACAGTGCGAATTTCAAAACCCTCGTGCTGCCAGCAAATTTACAGTCCGCCACTCTCAGCAGCCCCGTGGAGCTCACGGTGGCCAAAAACAAAAAAAAAATGCCATTGACCGCGCTCATCGTGTTGTTCTCGAAAACAAAGTAGCCGCCGTTCCTCAAATGAACACCGTTATAATAAACGGCCGATGTCGTTCTAGAATCCTCCTTCTTTGTTCTCAGCGTATTTCCCTTCACAATGATTCCGCCACCATCAACAACAACAGCAACGGGGAAACAAACTGCAAAAATATTCCCCTCCAATTTGTTGTCAAGCATCAGCAGCGTCGAGTTCTTGCCAAAAGCAAACCTCGGAAAGTGAATAGCGTGGCCCGAGATCGCCACAATTGCACTGCCCACCACCAGTATCTGGGATCTCGCTCCAAAATCACCCTCAAACGCCAATGCACCAGAATCCATCATCGAGGATGTCACGTTCACTTGCACGCGCGCACCACTCCCCCTGATCGATAGACCCACAAGGACGCACTGCAGCAGCGTGATGTTGAGTGTCTGTTGTGGTGCGGCAAAACCCCACAGGTCCAGCACGATCGCGGCGGTGAAGGTCACGTTGACAAAGCACAGACCACGCACACCGGGATCAGGATCGTCCACGGAGCTGATGCTGCCACCGTGCACGCAGCGGACCTCCGTGTCCTTCGCATCGGGTAGCGGGAGCGGGAGCGGCCCAAGGCCGTCCGGAACCGCAGCCGGCAGACACGTGTCTCCGTAGCCGCCAGCAGCGCACACACACGCACAGCCGCTGATGCTGCTCGTCCTCGCTGCAAAGCACACGGCGTCCAAGGCGCACGCGCCACAGTCCAACACCGTCACGGGGGCTCCAATATTGAGCACTTCTCCGTAATCCATCACAGGTGAGCCCCTTGCCTCGTTGCACACGCCGTAGATGATCGGGTGCGCGTCGGATGGTGGTGGCCAGTTGCTCGTCATTTGTGCAATGCTCGACGAGTACGAGCCGTAGTTGAAGTTGTTATGTAGTATCGACCACACACTCCGATCGCGGAACGCAACGCCGTTCTTGTTGGCCACGTGCACGACATAGGCGGTGCGGAACTCGTTGTCGCGGTGCACCAGCCAGCTGCCGCCAGTCACGGTCAGCGTATTTGCAATGAGCATGGCGAAGCCGAGACGGAAAGTGCTGGACACAATCTGCAGCACGCTGCCGCCATCCACTGCAACGTCCCCAAACACACACGCGCCCTTGTAGTATTCGTTGCTCGGCGCACTCCACAAGCTGTTCTGTATGGAGAACACGGAGCCGCCGCTGACACGGAGGTACGACGCAAGAGCGTAAATCACGTGCGACTGCGACCTGATAACGCAGTTGTCCATGTAGAACACACTGGACAGGTTCGCACCGAGGCCGCGCTCCACGAGGATCGCAGCGCACGATTCCCCGCCACACCCCAGCGTCGACCGCGTCATGACAAACCGCGTCGACAGAAGCCGGACGCCGTCCAGGACAAGCGCGGGGCCGTACCGGGATCCCTCGTGGCCACGGGTCGTCGCCACGTACTGCGACCCGCCAACCGTCGCGCGCAGCGTTGAGTTCGCCAGCAGCACTCTCGAGTGCAACGGCATCGCGCCATGCAGCACGATCGTGCCCTCCAGCGACGTCACATTCTTCATGTTGACGAGGGCGTACGGCACCAGGCGCGCCGTGATCTCGCTGAGGCCACCAATCCGCAGCTGCGCGCCGCCCGTAAGCACGCAGTGGCGCAGCGTCACGTTCAGCGGGTCAGCGGACGAGTCCATCGAGCGCAGGTCCACCGCCACGGTGATTGGCCCGCTGAACACCACCGAGTCGAAGCACGCCGTCGCCCACCCGCCGCCAACCGTCACGGACTCCGTCAGCGTCACGCCACTCACGCAGCCCTGCGCACCGCCACCACCGCCGCCGGTCCTCGCGGGCGGAACGTCGAACGGCAGACACGCCTCGCCCACGCCGCCGGCACGGCAGCTGCACACGCAGTCGGAGAACGACGCCGTCAGTGCGTCAAAGCACGCCAGCGCCGCCGCACAGCCGTCGCACGGCACCACGCTCACGGAGGGCAGGCCGGCCATGCGGTAGTCGCCGCTGCTTTGCAGCACTCGGCCGCCGGCACGGTTGCACTGCACCGACACGACGCCGCTCGTGATCGCCGGCCCGGAGACAAGCGTCGCGCCGGTGGCAGCGCAGCGCGCAATCGACACGGTGCCGCCGCTCAGCGTCACCTCCGACAGCGACGCCACCGACGACGCCTCGCCCACCGCCCACACGTCGTGCAGGTCCAGCCACCCGCCGGCACCGATCGTCCGACCGTCGCAGCGCAAAAGCGACGACGCAACAGATCCCTCGACACCCACAAAGCGCAGCACCGAATCAAGCACCGCGAGGCGCTCTCCGAGCACAATGCCGCAGCCGCTACTCACTACCGACACCTTCGTCAGGGAGAAAACTGAGTGGCTCCGCAGACTGAGACACGACGAGGACGCCACACGCATCGCGGACGCGGTCGGACCGCCCGACGCCTCCAGTAAAACGCCGTCAAGCACCACCGCGCTCGACAGCAGGTCCACACCGCCGCCAACGTACACCGCCGACCCGCCCACGTGCGACGACCTCAGCACAGTGTTGCTCACACGCAGCTGCGTCTGCAACAGCGACGTCGCGTACAGCACAAGCGGCGACGCCACCACGTCCGTCAGCCCGCTCAGCTGGGAGTAGCGAATCGGCCCCGGCGTCACAATCGTCGAGTCGCGGACCGTCACGTTCGTGTGTGCCGGCAGGTTGTGCACAAACACGAGCGAGCAGTGGCTCCCGGACAGCCCGCTCACGCTCACCTCCAGGCTCCGGTCAGTCGCCGGCTCGCCGCTGTAGCCCCGCACGTAGATCTGCGCACCGCCGTCGCACACGCAGTTCCTCAGTTCGATGCGCAGCGCGCCGGGAAGCATCGCCGCAACGTCGAACACCACAGCCACACCGTTCGTGATGTACACGCCGTCCATCAGCACCGTGCCCACGGCGCGGCCCACCGTGATGGCTCTGTCCACCGTACCGCCCCGCAGTCGCAACACCACCGCATGCGCCGCGAGCACCCACGCCGCCGCCGCAACCAGCGCCAACACAACGAGCAGCGCCACACGCACAGCCGTAATGGCCCTGCGCCACACACGGTGCCGGCTGCGCGGACACGCACTCACCGCAGACCACATCCACTAACCCAAACAAGTACCAACGGGGCTGTTGTGGTGTGTTAGTCTCGACCCGTCAACCGTAACTCCTGCTTTCAAAATCCTTTTCTACAGATGGCGAATCCAGATACACAATTCCGCCAGATCGTTATCCCACTGCTACTAATCCTAATAAAGCAAGTAATCCCTAACACCTTTAAACGATAGTTGTGAAAGTCAATCCGAAGTATCTCTAACTGCTCAATCAGAGGAGAAATAGGAAGAAACAACGGCAAATAAGCACAGTGGCACACAGAGGCATCCGGCCACAGACAGTCCCAACCAAAGCATAACAACCGACAAAGAAAGCGCAGACGCCATCACGCCAGGAACACCATCGCCCTCCCACCGCCCACGCAGCCCCACACAACCACCATGCAGAGTGGCAAGATCCCAGAAAAAAGACACATGACCATTGGCACCGCTCTTGAAACAAAATGCCTCTACCACAGAGCAGTATCAATGCCGTGAAAGAAGCACAGGGGCCGAGACAGACCCACGTGGAATCGTTGCAACCGGCAGCCATCGAGCGCGTCCAAGAACGTGGTGACACGGAAGAGGAGCGGAGGATTCGCCGTTCGAAAGCAGCAAGGGCGTCGTTTCTCGCTCACATGGGTCGGCATCGCACAGCAAACAGCGGCATCATAAGCGCACACGGCACACACAAGAAGGAAGGATGAAGAAGTGCTGTGACTGTAGTCGCACACGGGGGAACAAGGGTCCACGTCGATCGCACAGTCCGATTGACTCACAGAACTCCGGTTTGTAATCACGCCGCTGCCCTGCAGTTCGTCAGTCTGCAGTGTACTGAAAGGATGGAAGGAAAAAAGAGAGAGAAGGTGCGGCCCTCATCGATCTCAGTTGGATTTGACACCGGTAACATCATCTCGTCAGATCGCCTGCAGCAAAGGCCGTCACCGTCAGCAGCGGTCGGTGCCTTCCCTCTCCCACTGGGGCGCCATTCCACTAACGCCGTCGCTCCCCCATTCCTCCACCAACACAGCAAGGAAGCAACAGCGGAAGATGCGACACATGCAACGAGCAAGCAGCCGCAGAGTCCCACTGCTGCCGCCATGACTAAAAAAAAGGGGGCTGCACAACGCACTTTATCCAAATCCTCGGCCGTTATACTCTTTAGAAAAAAGAAAGAGATACATGCCGACAAAACCGTCAGTTCCATTCCTGCCCCTGTTTAGAACACAGCAAGACAACAAGAAGACAGCCAATCTTACACCAATGCTGGCAAGCAGACACACACGTCGTCGCAGCGCTGTGAGTGGGCGCAAAAGAAGAAGGATGCGGCGCCCCACGGCTCGCACAGTGCACACACCGCGAAACGGCGTCCACAAAACAAACGCGCGCAAATCGCCAGCAGTCACCCACCGTGAACGAGGAGAAGAGAGCCACCGCCACCGCCTCCAGTTTAATTCCACGGCCAACGGTATACGGCCACAGCCCCGCAGCCAACACACAACGCGCACTAAGAGAACACCCACCCCGCCAGCCACACGCGGAAGCGAGCCCTCATTCATCCACGACGCGGCAACAAAACTTCACTGCCATCTCACCCTAAATGGGATGCGGCGCCGCACTCCACCCAGTCACACTCAGTGCCCTCGGATTCACAAAAAAGGAGAATAACGGCGCACTCTCATTCCTTCCCTGGCCGCGGAAGCAAACAGCCACACGCAAGTGGAAGTACCGACTTTGAGAAAAGCAGCCGATTGCACTGCAATG